AATTTTCAAGAAAATTAAGCAAACTTCGGCTTGATAGGTAGCTATGGTTTCTTTAGACATCCAAGAACTCGGAAAAAATCCAAAAACAATGAATCAGTTTTAATTTGCACTAAAAATGCGAATATTTGTTTGTATTATTTCGCCTTTTCTCCTGCACCCCGAATTATGATTGTCACTGTTTACGACACAGCTGACGTCCTTCGACAGAAAGGTTCCAAGGAAGAGGTCCGCCGTAAAATATTCGCTATTCTCTTGTTGCATTTAGGTACAGCAACATTTTTTTAATTGTAAAAACTGTTAATTCACATACACAAAATTAAGGTGAAGACTGTGTTAAAATATTTTGTCGGTCACATGCGTCTTTAATCCCTATTAACAAGCAACCCTGCAAGTTTGTTAAGTGCATTTGTACCTACTTATATGATAATAAATTTAACATCCTTAGCAACCGGTTTTTAACCTCCTTTGCTTAGCTTAGCATGGCTTGGCTTAAGCTTCCTTAGCTGGACTATCCATGCTTTCACCCCTCTCACCTTTATTAACTGCTATGCTACTGTATGGACAACTGAGAAAACACGCTGTTCGCTTGTGGACATCCACTTCTAAAAAATCTCCTTTACTGGCACATATACGTAGACGACGTGTTGGCACTATCGACAGGCACCACCAGGCAACTTGATATTTTTACTCAATACATCAATTCCATACACCCCAACATTAAATTATAAAAATTTAAATATAAAACTCTCAAAAATCTTTTAACTTCCTTAATCTCACCACCACGCTAGGATAGGACCACATTAATTTCCGTATTCTAGAAATTGAAAATGGGTACTAGCACAGAATAAAATTAGAATCCCTTCATATACACAACAACCTATAAAAAAAAGCAGAACATGACTTGTTTTTAACCAATAAATCCGTGAACTCTCATCACCATGCTAAAATAATGGGGAATAATTATTGTTAAATGAATATTAATAGTACAATTAAAAAATGTACTCGTGTAGTAGGTGAATTAACCTTATTTTCCTGGCATTCCACCAAATGAAACTTCTCTGGTAATCATATTTACTGACGATCTGAAGGGAAGTCTACTCGCCAACTTCCTCACAGAACGTCATTTCTTTAGGTTCAGGAGAATTATTTGCATCCATCTTTTCTTGAACCACAGTATACGATTATTGTTTAAATAGATGTATTGCAAGCAACACCTCACGTATTGAAGTAACGTGCTGTAGCAGCAGAATTAATTTGTTTACTATCGCAGTAATGTCGAAAGTTTCGCATAAGTCATGAAATTTTATGGTGACCGATATGCTGAACATACTACAAATGTTAAGTGTTATTACTGCCTCGTCCAAATTAAAAATCTCGGCTCCGCTCAATTTTTAACTTTTGGCCTCTGCAGTAATATGGTAGTTCTAGGTATGTTAATACCTATAATTGATCGTAGTTTATACCAGTGTATTTCACGTGAAGTTCTTGAGCAATGTTACTTTAGGGATGACCATTGTACGTGGTTTTGGTCCAGCAGCATTTGCTGTAGAAATTCTAATTTCATCATTAGAAGTTCTTAAATTCCTTGATATATGAATTTTTTTTCGAAAACTGTTTCATTTTGTTTAAAATATTGATTGAATATATTCTGTTTACGTGTCAAAATCGTTTTACGTATGCAGCGTAATTGTCCTCAGCAACATATTTTTTTCTTCTCGCCGACATTGTGTGGGTGAGTGTTTTAGAATTAGTTATATCCTTGTGGAATTGAAAGTAAGGTTATGTAAGCCGTAATAATGGAAATGCATATAGGACTGCAGGGAGTATTTATTCGAAGCACGAGCCTAGTTTAAACGAAAAATATCCAGTCCGGTTTCAGGGAGATGGTTTTGGAGGGGAGAACGGCTGACGCACGTATCCCCCCCCCCCCCCGTCCAGTTGCCTCTGTACCCCCAATGAGGAACGAGCCAGGCAACGAGCAGTACAGTCTCCTGGCTCTATGAAGTGCCGGGCAGCTTGCGCACATCCGACGGAAATTTGCTGAAGCAATGCGCTGGATAGATTTCCGTTTCGACGAAGCATATAGCACATGTCCATGAGGCTTCGATGCGGAGGTTCCGAAACGCACTTCACTCGGGAAGAACCTAATCTCTATAACTTAGTTTTGATTTTTACTTTCCCGTATACATACGTATATACGGATTAATATACGTAGTATTGGGAAAGTTATGTAATGCTGTGAAAAATAGATTTCGAGATTTCAACGAAAAAGCATGTTTTGGGGTCCCCTGATACCAAAAAGTGATTTTTTTAACGTTTTTTAACGTCTGTAAACACCACTAGCCCTTAAATCATACGTAGGATGTTTTCCTAAAAGGATGTTCCCCTGTCGATCTTTGTGGGGTACTTTACATGAAGCCTCCCGGATATTTTCAAAATTTTCTCAGAAACTGCTCTGAATTTTTCCATTAAATTTCTTGTAAAAATAGAATAAATTAACTCGTAAATGCGGTATATGTCCGATTTTTAGTGTTAACTCTGAACTTTCGAAAATTTTGAAATGTTTCTACCGTCTTCCAACAATTACAAAATTGAAGATAGAGATTTTTTTCTTCAAGTAAAATTTGTTACCCACAGTGAGTTCTTTCATTAAGGTTGTGCACATTTTTTTAATAAATAATAGTACTTGTCCGCGCAATATTGCGTACAATATGTGCAATTTTAAAAATATGAAATACAAGATTTTCACAGAAACAGATCCAATTTTTTTTCTTTAAACTTTTGGTAAGGGTTCAAAATCGTTCGAATTGAGCGGAGACTGAGCAGCAACGTTATAAACGTTACACACATACAAACGGTACACATTTATCCACAGCATGCAGATAGTGCTAAATGTACTTTGAGATGACATAAACATCAGTTTGCTCCATTCTTTTGTTTTTTCATAATCTACAAAAATGTAATTTTTATGACTTGTCTTTCACGTCGTTAATATTTACATTAACGGCAAATTGTTCACATTACATTTTTCAACACATGTGCTTTAAATAATGTCATACAAAGTTTCTCGAAAACTCAACTATTTTCTGTGAAAACTACCTCAAAATTCCGCATTTTCAGGTGCAGTCAGACGCTATTTTCTCATAAACGGCTCAATTTTTAGTTTTTCGAACGAATAGTGCTAATTGTAGTCTTTATAATGTCGTAAAGTTCATTTTGGGGTATTTTTTGTTATTTTCAAAACTTACACAAGTGTTGTTTTTTTATCTCTCACGCCGTTAAGATGCACATTTCCAGCAATGTATTAACACTTTTGTATTTTTGAGTTGAAGTTCTTCAAATGATTTCTAATGATGTTTTTCAAAAACTTAAAATTTCGAATTTACAGTAGTGATTAAACGCTATTTTCTTAAAAACGGCTCCAAATTTTTCAAAGAAAATTGTCATTTAAGAAGAGGTGTTTTGTCTTTTTTTAATATTCTTAAAATAATATTTTAATTCCACTATTAGGAAACTGAAAAATTAAGAAAATTTCATAAAAATGTATTTTGGGCGGCGATAGATGGCAGCTGGCAAGAGTATGTGGCAAGTCCGAATAGCTGTCCGAGACCAAATGAAATAGAGAACTAATTTGGGAAAGTCTGTTCATTTTCTAGCAACAATAGTTTAATCATAGATTTATTATTTTTTGTGTTAATGAATTTGTAAACTTCGGCTAGTTAGATTGGCCACTGCTAAAAGCTGTGTATGCATTTTAAAATAGAGACTAGTATTATTTCTGTGAACATTAAAATTTAGTTGTTATTGACAGTTGGTTTAGCTATTTGAACGTGAATTAATTAGGTCTTAACCACTTGGCCGGTAGTTAATTAGGATGCAAACGATTTCTTCGTCAGTCGCTTGGTTATTCGACTGATATTGAGCAGCTTCGGCGACTTCGTGTTCGTAATCATTACTATTGTCACTGTGGATATTTAAAACAAAGCGCACTTCTTTGTCTCTATTTATTTTTAAAAGCAGATGCAGAAGTTCCTTTATGTGTAGTGACATGTCACTTCCGCCCCTCAAGTTGGCTCAAGGAGCATGCGGATTGTTCAAACACATTTCAATTGTTTCGTGATTTTTTTGGCACAGCCACAGAAATCTTTTGGGTTGATGTGTTAAAACATTGTGTGAACCATATACATTTTTAACTACATAATATGTGCGGACGTTTTCGTGAAGACTACAGTCTTCTCTATTGATATTCGCGGGTTATTTGCGTTTGAGAGTTGCATTTTGCAATTTAATTTCATGAAGAAAT